AATTTTCACTCATTTGTAATTGGCATACCCAATGTTGTTTCTTATTAGGTATTTTTGTTTGCGGTGGATGATGGATCCTCCATTGGGATGTTAAAGACACACAGTAACAACAAGGAACTTGTTTAAGTTTTAATAGAGGTTTTACGGCACTCGCTACTGCATAAGGTCATATGAGCGCCAGAAGATTAAAGGCGTTACAAGAGAGTAACAAACAACAAAAAAGAAGAAGAAGAAAGAAGGACAATATATGTTTGATAGGAAAGAAGAAGCAAACCACACTAGAGCACCCGCCAACCCCCCTTCACAAGGAACAATGTGTCCACGAGATATAAAAGACACACAGTTACATCAACAAAGAACCATGCGGCCGCTCACCTCCTCAGAGAAAGAAAGAGAGAGAGAGAGAGAGAGAGAGAGAGAGAGAGAGAGGGGGGGGGGGCTGGAGAGATGGAAAGGGGGACATAGGGGAGGGGCATAGAAAAGACAGACAGACAGACAGACAGACAGACAGGCAGACAGACAGACAGACAGACAGACAGACAGACAGACACATAGACACACTCACAAACAGACACACAGACAGACAGATATTTAAACACAAATAGACTAACCCACACATCATTTGGAAGTGAAATGTTGGAATTCAATATTCAAATTAATTTCGCCTCAGTAGTTTTTAAACAACAACAAAAAAGGGGGAAGGAAGGGGTGGGGGGCGGAGATAAAGGTCGGTTTGGGACATTTAATGATGATTCCCATCTCGAGTTCCGCGAGGGGACATGATGACATAAAAAGAAGCTCCATGTTCTTCGATTAGAATTTCATTACGATAGAAAGAAAAATAAATCTGATCTCGACAAGGAAGATGTTGAAGTGGTTGAGGGTTATGTGATAATGTGCATTATAGTTGCTAACAGTGGAATGGGGGCTCTCGTGGCCTAGATGTTAAGGTGTTGGCCTCTCATTCAAAGGTCCCGGGTTCGAATCCGGGTAGCGACCGAAAAATTTTCTTCTCTAAAATTGTCTCCTTTCACCTCCTTTCCTGCTCTCTAGCAATTTTCTGTCGTCTGCTTTCGTCTCCTCTTTCTGCCCCCACCGCCTCACCTCCCTTGCCCCCTCCTCTGGGCTCCTGACTCTTTCTGCAGCCTTTCTACTGTTACTCCTTGGCTCCTCCTTACTGCTGTCTTTCTGCCACACCCCTGATCTTCTGGTAGGAAAGATCTACACCTAGCCTTCTCGGACAAGGGCGAAAAATCTCGGAGGGCCTGTGTGCAAGTTGCGCACGTTAAAGATCCCTTGATGGTCTAAAATCGATAAGAGTAGGCTTCGGCCGCCACCCGGGCAAAATTCAAAATTTCCTACCAACGAAAAAGTATTAGGTGTGTCCCGCGCGCTCATATGACCTTATGCAGTTGCGAGCGCCGTAAAACCCTTTACTAAACAAACAAATAACAGTGGAACCTGCTCTCACAACCAGCAGTTCAAGACAACAATCTTATGTAGTTGCGAGTGCCGTAAAACACTTAACTAAACAAACAAGTAACAGTGGAACCTGCTCTCACAACCAGCAGTTCAAGACAATCCTCTGATGCAGTTGCGAGCGCCGTAAAACCCTTTACTAAAACATGAAACAAGACAATCCCGCCCTATACAAAAGTTCTCTTCCCATCCCTCACCCTTCCTCCTTGTGGCTTGTTGTTGTCGTTGTTGTTGCTGTTGCTGCTGTTGTTGTTTTTGTTGTTGTTGTTGTTGCTGTTGTTGTTGTTGTTGTTGTTGTTGCTGTTGTTGTTGTTGTTGTTGTTGCTGTTGTTTTTGTTGTTGTTGTTGTTGTTGTTGTTGTTGTTGTTGTTGTTCTTTTTTGTATACCGACATGTTTTTTTGACGTTGTCTTTTTTTTTTGGGGGGGGGGGTGGTTCATTTGTTTGTTTGTATGTTTGTTTTTCTGGGGTATTGTTTTTCGTTGGGTTTATTTGTTGTTGTTTTTTTTGTTTGTTTAGTAATTATTGTCTTATTTCTCAAATTACATCCTGTTTTTACAAAATTAATACATAAAGGTTGTTTATCGTGTCCATCAAGCTCTGATCTCTGTGCTTTATTTTACCAAGCCTTACGCCAAAAACCAAAAAAAAAACCCAAAAAACAGTCGGTGGTTGGCGGGTGCTCTGGTGTGGTTTGCTCCTTCTTTCCTATAAAAAAAATCTTTAGTCTCTCTCTCCCCTCCTTCTTTTTTGTGTTTGTTGCTCTCTTGTAACACCTCTAATCTTCGGCACTTATATGACCTTGTTGTGTTGCAAGTGCTGTAAAACTCTAACTAAAACTTTAAAAAAACAACAACGAAAACCAATCTGTTCTCTTTCTTCCTCTCCCTCCAGCCGACCCTCCCAGAAAAAGAGTGGACGCTGTACAGTTTAGTGGACAGGCCAGGTATGACCACTGTTTTTGTTTTGTTGGTGGTTTTGTTTGGTTTTGTGGTGTTGTTTTTGTTTGTTTTTGTGGTTTTGTTACACCTAAAGGCCACTCATTTTCCCTGACAATTGTGGTTTTGTTACACCTAAAGGCCACCCATTTTCCCTGACAATTGTGGTTTTGTTACACCTAAAGGCCACTCATTTTCCCTGACAATTGTGGTTTTGTTACACCTAAAGGCTGCTCCTTTTCCCTGACAATAGGAAGCAAGAATCGTGCTCTTAGACTAGACCTCAGAATGGCAAGGTTCTGATTCCATAACGAATAGTTTTCTTTAAAAAGAAAATGGTATACAAAGATTCACACCTTTATAGGCCTACTGTAGATTATCTAAACTATTTTTACACCTCATGAATTTTTGAGCGTCAGACGGAAACAAATGTGAGGCGTGCTGACAAAATGAGTTACTACTTCTCGCAATCCACAAACGGAAATATTGGCCAAAAGTCGACATTACAATATGGTCAGATTAGTAGATTTTCTACTGATGCCACATTCTTTACGTGCCTTTAATTATTTCATACTCATAAATTGTAAAAACTCCACCTACCTATAAGCGCGATGTATCTGTTGCCATAAGGCTTAGATCCGAGAAGTAACTCATTTTGTCAGCACATTTCACAAATGGTATTCAACGATTCACTCTTTTAGGACAACTGCATCTAAAATGGGTTTTTTCACATTTTTAATTCTTGAGCGTTTTGAGTTTTATCTGATTAAAAGAAATAAATAATCCATCACTCAGTTGTTAAAACCCATTTACGCTTGTAGCTATCAAAGTTCTTGGTTTCTTACTGATATTAATTAAATATTTTACTGATATTAATTTAGCTTTAGTAATTCAATAACACGATTAAGATTGTTTTGGTTGGAGCTTTTTTACTCATAAATATGCACTTGAACCTTTTCTTTTCTTTTTTTTCGGGGTTTTTTTTTTTGTTTTTCTTTTTGTTTTCTGGGTTAGTTTCGATACTTCCAGTGCAAAGTGGAGAAAGTGGGTGGTTGGCAGGTGCTCTGGTGTGGTTTGCTTCTTCTTTCTTATCTAGCATCTATCGTCTTTATCTCCCCCTTCTACTTTGTTTTATGTTTGTTACTCTCTTATAACACCTCTAATATTCTGGCGCTCATATGACCGTAAGCAGATGGAAGCGCCGTAAAACCTCTACTAAAACTAAAAATAAAAGTGGACTTACGTGGTTTTGAGGTGAAAAGTTCTGGAATATACTTTTTCAGTGTCCTTGGGGTTGATATTTTGGTTTTTTAAAATATATTTTCATTTTCTCAAATGGTGTCTCTCACTTTGTTTTCTCAGTGGTTTCTGTTTGTATTTTTTCCCTTTACAAAGTTTCCTTTTTCTTGTGTTTGTTGTTGTTTTGTTTGTTGTTGTTTTGTTTGTTGTTGTTTTGTTTGTTGTTGTTTTGTTTGTTGTTGTTTTGTTTGTTGTTGTTTTGTTTGTTGGAGGGAGGGGG